GATATACATATATATGTGGCAAAGATTTAAATTCTTAGGGATTAAAAGTTTTCAATTATTTTAATTATATTTAAGATAACTTGTGTATTAATTTTGAAAGGAAGTATGAATGAACCTCTTAAAAAAAATGCAACCTACTAATCCTGAAACTTTCTGGGATTTCCAAGTCAGCATGCTTAAATGAATTTACATCTTCCAAAATCCTGATTACTGTTTAAAAAAAAAAAAAAAAAGTGTATACCCTAAGAATGAAATCCCTTCTCTGGCTGTCACACAAAATAGTCGATTGTCAGATTTCCAGGCAGAAGTTGGATGCCTAAAATCAGCTTTTGAAAACTAGTATTTCAGTGTTAACTTTAATTTGAAGGAAATGATAAGCAACTCTGCCCTGCTCAGAAATGTCTCTTGTGGGATTTCCCATGATTCAGAGTTTAATGGACACTTACTTACACCTCTCTCTCACCCCAACCATCTAATTTAAAGCAGAAGGTAAAGCTTTAAAGAAAAATGATACAGTAGTCAACGCTGAACAAAAATAATATAAAGGAGACTTAATAAAATTATCAGATTTCCCTTTTTGCAGAATGATTAAATATTGTAAAATTTTCTGCTTTAGCCGTCGATTGGGATTTACAAAACAAGTAGCAAAAACAAGACTTTGGTCCATTACTTTCATAGCATTACTAGTTGACAACTGAATGTAAGCAAGGCATGGTAATATGAGTCAGAAAGATAGCAACGCTAGCAAGAATTGAATGTCAAAACTTTGGACAGTATAGATATCTTCTGGCAATTTTTTTTTTTTTTTTAGTTTTCTTGTAAAAATCACTAAGTAGTGGTATGTACTTTCCAATAAGTACTTACTGAATTATTTGAAACCAATTTGAAATTACTGTATTTGTAACACATTACGAGCCTTCACTTCTTTTAACAATTATGTTTCTGAGAATTCTGGAATTTCCTGAAGCACACTGGAAGGGGGGCTCCTCAGTGGGCTCTGGCTCTCGGTTTTGTAGTTGTTGCTGAGGATCTTTCCGAGCAGAGCTCTTTCCAGGGAAGAGCTGGAGTTCCTCCTAAGCGCAGCTGGGCTCAGGAGGATCAGGTACCGCAGCCCGCACTCCAGGCTCGGGCGGTGTCCCGCCTTCACCCTGTCAGGCTAAGGAAGCACCTTTCACCGACCCCGCATCCCTAACAGCCTCGGGTGCAACGCAACGCCTTAGTTTCTGAGTCCCCACGATCTTTGCCCTGAGAATTCCACTTGGAGGTGAGGGCCAGCCTCTCGCCCGGACTCATCTCGGTTCCTGCGGGCACGAGGCGGGCCCCATCACCACCACCTCGACCCGCGGGGGGCGAGGAAGGCGCCCAGCCGTGCCCACCGCTCTCCGAAGGGTCCCAGGGCGAGCGCGGATCCCGGGCAGCCCCACGAGGCGCGCGCTTCCAGGCAGGGAGTCGGCCCGGAGGGCGTGGCGGGGGCGTGGCGCGAGGTGTCCGGAGAGGCGCCCCACGGGTGGCGGGCAGCGGGACTCAGCGCGGCCGAGGATGGAGCGGCTCTGCGCCGCCGGGGACTTGGGGCTCCCGCTCTCCTGGTCGCCAGAACGGGCAGCCGTGGGCGGGGCCTGCGGTGATTGGCGGGCGGGCGGGGAGGTCGGAAGTACTTTGTTTTTTATGCTAATGAGGGAGTGGGGCTTGTCCGTATTTACGTTGAGGCGGGAGCCGCCGCCCTTCATTCACCCACATGGTCCTTCGAGGTGCCGCTGCCGCCTCCCGGCCCGCGCCTTCGCGCCACTTCGCGCCCTCGGGCGAGGCCAAAGGGGTGGGGGCGACCCGGCTGCGGCTCGTGCCCCTCGGCGAAGCCCCCAGGGTGCCCAGGCTGGGCGACTCCCCCGGCGGCCGCACCCCCGGCCTGGGGCCTCCGGTCGTAGTAAAGCGGAGGCGGGCGCGAGAGCCCGGCGCCGGGCGAAGATGGTGGCGGCTACTCCTCCCGGTGAGTGCCCGCCCCTCCGCCGGCGGAGGGAAACCTGTTGTGTGCGGCCGGGCGGCGGGCGGGGCTCGTGGCCGGGCGGGTCTCGGGGTCCCGGCTGGCACGCGGGCGGGCGGCAAGCGGCCGAGGGCA